TTAGCAGGGACAATGTGATCTTTCTGACCCCGCTTCTCCCCTCTCCCCACTTACTTCCTTTCCCAGCCTCCTGGCACCCACCTCAGAACCCCGTGTTTACAGGCCGGAGCCCCCCTCCTCAGGGGACCCTACGCCATCGTGCCATCCTGCAAGGCATGACTCAAACACCCCTTTCCCGGCAGTCTTCCTGTCCCACACCTGCTTTCTCTCGTTTGTCACCTCTCCTTTTTCGAACAGTTCCTCAACTATACTTTCCTAGTCTTTATTTGCCTGTAGCCTCAATTATATAACCCTTACAGAGCGGAAACTGAGAGTATCTGACAGTTTAAATAGAAATTGGAGGAAAAGGACCAATACGACAAACAATGGCCTTTACCACTGCCTTTCACAGGCTAGAAATCCATTTGTGAAAACTGGCTCTTTTGTTGTTGTTGAGACAGGGTCTCACTATGTCATTCAAACTGGCCTCGAGCTTCCCAAATGCTACGGCCTCAGTTTCCCGAGTGCTGGGATTACAGGTGTGCCTCACCACGTCCTGCTAAAACCCGCAATTTTAAGAAGCTAAATTGCAATTTGATGTTTAGAAGATGGGGCTCTGCATACTTTCATTGAAAGAATAAAAATCTAAAACCCAGTTGTGAGTGTAGGGTTAGGATCAGGCTTTTAGGGAGGATTTTAGAACTAGAAAGTGGCTGAAGTGACTCGCACTAGCTTTTCATTAGCATCTCAAGGGCTGTCTTAAAGGCAGAGGGGTGCTAGGGATGTTGCTGTCTCCTGCGGTAGGCAAGCTGGTGGGGGTGGTAGTGGGGAGAACCTTTCCTCTCAATGAAACTGTAGTTTCCGCAAGGCAGCGCTCCGCCGCAAGAGTGCGAGCAGGCATAGTGCAAGGACCCTTTGCATAATCCATTCTTAAATCTTCTGAGGCTGGTACAGTTGTAAACGGAAACTGGAGGCAAACCCTGAGCAGTTACATTTTCTCAGAATGTTTCCTTCCCAGAGGGTCAGTGATTTCCTGCTTTTGGTCCCTCCCCCAACGCAGGCACCCACCCAGTTTTGCAGAGAGCTCAGAGCCGACACCAAGCCTCTTTCCTACCTGAAGTGGAGACCTCGGGGCTGGCGTTTCATTCATAATACATGCATTCAGGGGAGGAGGGAGACGGGGGCTGAGGCCTTTCATCTCGGCTATTTCAAATCCCGGCACTGAGCTGAGCGGGAAGAGGACCTGAGAGTGCACAGCCCGGGGATGGAACCTTGCACGATAACGGTACACGCGGGCGCGTCTGCGGCCCGCCCGCCGGCTATTTATACCGCACGGATTATGCAATCGCGCCCAGCCATTCATGCCCCGCAGGGACGCCGCGCGCCACCACTCCGGGCGCCGGGTCACTTTCTAAGTTTGCATCATCCCCTTCATTGCCAGGCAGCTTGGGTTTCCATCGCTGCCAGCGGATCTGGGGGAGGGGGGCAGCTGGGCTGTAAACTCACTTGGCACACACCGGCACACGCGACCGCTCGTTCAACCTAATCGTAAAGGCAGCAGCGCGCCCCGGGCGTGGTGGCCGCGCTGCGCGCAGGGCCCAGCCGGGCAGACCGGAAGGAACTGATAAAACGAGCGCTAATGACACCCCTCCCGCCCGCGTCGGAAGTGTCCTCGCAGCGCCGGTCATTGAGAAATACCGAAGGGGCAGTGTGGGGGTGAGGCGAGGACAAGCCAGGCGCAGCTGCGCGCGCGTCGCGGGGCGGGGAAAGCGGGGCGCGGCGGAGGGGCGCCGCCCGCCGGGCTGCCCGGACCTCGGGCCTCACCGAGACCGCCCGGTCCCTCCTCCCCGGGGAGCGGCGAGTGGCGGATCGGATCCCACCCCCACCCCGCACTCACCCCCGGAACGCTGCACTCCGACCCCGGCGCGCGAGAGGGCCACGGAGCACCCCGGAGAGAAAGTGGACTGCAGGGCGGGCGAACATGTCCGCTGCTCCCAGCGCCCGTGCCGGGCGGAGGGAACCAGGGCCGCGGCCAGCTCGCGAGTGAAACAGGACCTGCGGGTCTACTGAGCATGTCCGGCCCGCCGCCCACCCGCCCGGGAGGGTCGCTTCGGCTCCGCGCGCCGGGCTTTCCCAGGCGCCGGTGGAGAGGACCAGGCTGCGGGGTCCCCCTCCCTGCACTCAGCATTGGGAAGCCGGAAGATGGGGCCCGTGGAGGCTCCTCTAGGTGTGCGTGGAGTGGTGAGCAGATCGTTACTACTTTCGAAACTGTACCACCTTCTTGGACTGGAAACTCTGGATTAGATCCTGTCTCAGAGCTGCCTGAACCTGGCTTGCTGGATGCAGCGAGGCGCGTTGATGTGGGTCCTTAACTCCTTCGGCACTGCCTATAAATTAAAGCTCTAAATCGGTGGTACGCTGAATTCCAGAAGCGGATCCGGTGGACTTGCATAACATTATGGTATTCAGATCAACAAATCTTAGTTATCCAAAGAAATACCTTCACTTATTCTAGAGATGCAGGAATTAGACTGGCCTCAACCGTAGTTAAGAGGTGAACCCCTAATAACATTTTCATAAAAGGCCCCTTCTGCATAATGAACAAAACCGAAAAGAATCAAAAGCCTTTATTTAAAATTTTAAAGGGATATGAAGGACAAGGCTCGGAGCATTTGGTAACCAGGTGACCAAAGAGAGGAAAAAATGGCCCTGATGTTGTCTCTACAGTGTCTTCACGCTACACCCCATTTCATCTTCCAGCAGCTCTATGTTGTAGATATTATTCTGAGAAGATAGAGACTGAACTCGTGGCTAAAAGAATCCAAGGCTCAAATAAACTTGGTATGTAACATTCAGAAAACAAAATCAAAGTCCCTGCCCAAGACACCCCAGCTGGCACCTGGCAACAGGAAATCCCAGTGGGGACTTTGTGAGTTTTGGACTTTAAAATGTTTTCCATTGTTCTCCTGGCTGCCTGGTCCACTGGCTCAGCCAGTCCTTCAGCTGGCTGAGTAATGACAGGGAGCCAGCAGGCTCACTGAGCTTGCCTGCCTGTAGAAATCAATAACCACCACACCTGCCACCTTGTCCTTCCTGCACTCTGACACTAGAGGGTGGAGCCCAAGTGGTGCCCAAAGGGTGGGAAATTTTGACAGGGATAAAATACCTGTGTTCCTGGAAGTTCAGGAATGACAAGAGTAGGATGTCTTTTAACACCCCTAGGGAGAATAGCAACAGCCAAAGGTGAGAACTGGGTAGTCATGGGGTTTAGAGAACCTTCAGGTTTGCCTTTATCCTAAGTGCTTTCTCTTAAGCTTTTAATGTTCTCAAAAACTGAGTAAGATTTAGCTAAATCTGGTGGTGTATGCCTGTAATAATCCCAGCACACTCGGAGGCTGAGGCAGGATGATTGAAAGTTCGAGCCTACCCCAGGCAATTTGTTAGTGAAACCCTGTCTAAAACCAACCAAACCAACAAACAAGTGAAAATAAGAACTAGAAATATAGTTCAGTGCTAAAGCCTTGGGTTCAATCAATGATACCAGGAAAAATGAAACAAAATTGTGAAAGACAAAGTTGACTTTGTGAGTCCTGTGAATTGATAAAAACCTTACTCAAGAGTCTAGGATCTGCTAGGAGAAAACCAGAAAGCAGGTGTTCCACTCAGTCTGGTGCGCTCCTCACCACACATCACCAGGACCCATCATCAAAAGGACTGAGCTCAGTCCTGTCCACAAAGATCTTGATTGTGATAAGCACAAAGCCCAGGGTAAACCACCAGTTTCTTCCTGACTCAAGGTGAAACTCTTATCTTTGGAGCACTTACAACTCTCCATATGCATGGCCCTTTTAGGTAGATTACATTTCAGATGCTTAATCTCCTAGTTTGTTTTGTTTAATGGCTCCTATTTATTTAAAATTTTGGTCTTCTGTGGAGAAGTCTACCATACTTGGAAACCAGGAAGGGGAAGGGACTATGACCTTTGCTCCCAGGCAGGACCCCAGAAGGAAATATTCAAATGCTATGTAATTTGTGGAACCAAGCACAAAATGCAAATGAGAAAGGATTTCCAGACTGCAAGAGCAAAGCATGAAACCAAGGACAGATCCCTAGCACCAGTGCCAGTTCCACGTCCAGGAAGTAGTCTTGCCTACTGCCCTGACCCTGCTGTTTTGCAGAGCAGAGACCTACCCCCAAACCTCCAGCAGGTCCCAGGACACAAGTTTAAAACAATGGAGTGAGTTGACGAGGGCATCCCCTATTTCCCTGTGCCAAAGCCTACAGGACTGGCAATGCCTGGCCCAAGTATCTGTGGCTTTCAAGGGCCTGAGACAAGGTCTATCCTTCATTTACAGAAGAGATTGATTGAATATTTAAGCAATATTTTGAGATTATCTTTTAACACCACCATTTCCAATAAAATGCAAACATGTCTGGGCTGTGTTGGGTTTGCCTTTTACTTTTCAGTGCACAAACAGTGACTGTTTAAAAATACCCGCCCTTCTCCCAAGACACAAAAGATCACAAGATTCACGCGAAACTGAAAAGCCTCTGCCATTCAGAACCTTGGCGAAGTCTAACACCCTCCCTCCCTCTCTCCTTCCTTTTCTGGTAGAGTTGGGTGGCGAGGCCAGCCGCTGCCACCTGCGCCACCCCCACCCTCGCACCCAGCGATGGGGGTGGTTATTCCTCAGAGCACCACCACCCTTCCCGCTGCTTACCTCCACCACCTCCCTCGAGCTCCCCACCTCCGCCCCTCCCTCGGTTTTCAGTCCTAGGGTTTGGGTAGAGGGAGGAGACCGAACGGGAGCCAGATGTGTTCGAGTCCCCCCGCTCCCGCCTCCTCCGTCTTCCTGGGCTTGCTAAAACCCGGAGCTCTGAGCGCGTAGGATTCGGAGTCAGACAGACGCGGGGCAAAACAACTCCGATCCGCGACTCCTCCGGGACTGGCAGCCGGGAGGGAGGGGGAAAGGAAGCCGGGCATGCTCAGTAGGCGGGACAAAGTTTTTTTTTTTTTTTTTTTTTTTTAGTTTTTTTTTTCTCTCTCTCCTTTATTTATTTTTTTTCGGTCGCAAGTAGGAAGCTTTTTGCACTCCACCACCTCTGGCCGCTGGGAAGACGTCATCGCTTCCGCCCTACTTCCTCCTCCTGTTGGCGGTGGTGAGAATCCAATATGGAGTAAATCGGTGGAGTCTAGAGATGGGGCTCGGACGGGGCACCCTGCACCGCCTCCAAGGCGTACCTCCCCCGGCAGCCGACCGCTCCCCGGAACCGTGATTGGCCCGCCCCCCCACCGGGGGCGACACCGGACCCAGCCCCTGCCCGTGGTCGGCCCTCCTCCTCCTCCTCCGCCTCCTTCTCCTCGTAGCGGCAGCCCCGCCGCTCCGAGGCGCGCTTGTTTTTCTCCTGCTCTCCCCCACCGCGGTCCCTGGTCCCAGTGTCGCCCTCCGCGCGCTCAGAGCCCCGAGCCTCCACCCGCAGGGCCCGCGGCGCTCACTCTCCCCGGCGTAGCTCGTGCACCCCTTCCCCAGACCTCGCCCGCGGCGCTCGGGTCGCCCCGCTTCCCCTTCTGCTGCGGCGCCCCTTCATCTCCAGCACCCCCACCCCCACCAAATCAGGCGATCTTCGGAGATGTGAAGAAGGGGGGCGAGCGCACAGGAAGATGAAGGGAGCAAAGCTGCCCGCCGCGGGACAGGCGTCTAGGTGAACAAGAAAATGACCGAAGAAACACACCCGGACGAGTAAGTTCCCCCGCGGGGAGGGACAGCGTGGGGGCCGCAGCTGAGGACGCGGGCGGGGACTCGGGTGAACTTGGCGTGGGGTGCAACGACTCGCTGACCTGTCGGGTTGGGGCGCGAGATTTTCGTCCTTGTCGGGATGAGGAGGGGGCATTGGGCTGGCGGGGCCCCGCACGCTTTGGGCCGGTGGTGGCTGCGGGGTCCAAGGGCGCGCGGGTGACCTCGAGGCGGTCTCGGCTCCCTCCCCGGGGACGGTCTCCAATTCTCGTCTGCTAGGGCGGAAGATCTGACACCCCCCACTTCGGCTCCCCGGGGGCGACGGCTTTTTTCGCGGTGACTTTGGCACTCCGGCCCCGCCGCTGGCCTTGCGGTCCTTTCCCTAGCCCACTGGGGCCCGGGCTCCGCCATTTCGTTTTCTTGAATCACTCTCATTTGCATACCACATTTTCATTCATAAAAACGCGGCGGAGCGAGGGGAAGACGGGTGCGGGCCGCGCGGGGGTCTGGTTAGCCGGGGTCCGCGCGCGGTCCGGTGCTCGGGAGCCGCTGCAGGGGTCTCGCGGCGCTCGAGAGTCCACGCGCGTGTGGGCTGGCGCACTAGCCCCGCGGGGTCGGAGCAGTTCGGGGGGCGGACCCCGAGCATGTGCGGCGGGGGCGGGCGGGAGCGTGCGGGGCAGCTTGCTGTCTGCGATCCTGTGTGTTCGCGCGCGCGCGTGTGCGCGTGCACGCGCGTGTGCCCGGCCCGAGGGGAACAATGCTCCTGGCGCTCCACCCGAGGGCCTCTTGGGCCGGCTGGCTGGGGACCGGTGCTTGTCGCCGTCCCTTGGCCAGCGTGCAGCTTTCCCTCGCCTCGCAGTCGCTAGGTCAGGTTAGGCTTTTGTCGCCTAGACCCGGGGCAGTGCCCCCTTGAGGGTGCGACGGGGGCGGGGCCGCAGGGCCGGGCGCGGAGGATCTCCGGCCTGGGGTGTCGGTGTTGTCCCCCGCACGGACATGCTGCTGGCGCTCCTAGTACCTATGCCCGCCACCAGACACTTTTTTTTTTTTTGTGAATAAGACGCTCTCCTTTATTGTCACATGATATTCCTCCTCCCCTGCACATTCATAAATCCGAAGCGGGGCTGCTTCCATTCAGAGCTGCCATTAGCCAAGGTAGCTGCGGCGCCGCTTGGCCGAGGAGATCCGGTCCGCAGCCGTGGGGACTGGGGACGCCGAGGGAGCCCCGCGCTGGTCTGAGCCGGAGACTTGGGGTTGAGGGCTGCCGGCTTGAGGCACCTCGTGTTTTTCTTTGCGCTCTCGGGCCCCCCACTAAAATATCGAGACTCAATGGTGCGGTGAGGGGAAGTGACTCAGGGCTGGGCCACTGGGGGCTTGAAGGTCTTTTTTGCAGCAGGTGACAGAATGCAGTGCTGTACTCTAAAGAAAGCTGACTTCTTTTTAAATGCCCCTTTATCGTTTGGCGTCTGTTGCTTGGCTGGGTCGGAGGGGCCTGATGTTCCGGAAGGGGAATTCCTTCCTGTGGGTCCCCAGGGAGCCTTGGCTATAGTAACCCCAGATCTGCCAGTGTGTGCTGGTGCGCAAGTCGGGTGACACAGTGTCTATTTTAGACATTTGGCTTTGCTTTCATATACTCATCTTGAAATGGTAAAGTGAATAAAAGTTCTGCCTTTAGTACTGAAATACAAAAGAAAAGGAATGTACTGCTAGGCCTTGCCCTTTTTGATGGTGGCCCGTAAACAGGCATTTTTCTGGGTCCTGTTTGTATCTGCACACATGAATAGGAGGCACAGTGGACAGTGGTATGCTCTGGACTTGGGGTTTTTGAAGAGGTTTGGCCACTCTTCATCGGGTTCCTTGGCCCCACCCCGTTAGGAGTGCAAATCAGGCCTCTTTTCTCAGCAGCAGGTCATCTCTGCATCCTACCCAAGAGCAAAAGGGTTTCAGATATGATTTCACCATAAGAAATCTGTATCTATCCCAGGCTTTCCGAGCAAGTTACGCATCATCCACTGTAGTGCTTAAATCACCTGTTTGAGACCAGACAATGAATCTGGTTTCAGTGAGAGAAATAGGAAGCCTGGGGGCCTTGACCACTGCAGACATGGCCTTTTGAGAGTCACTTTGGACTTGATTTTGAATTAAACATAAAATGCCCAGGAAGAAAGCAGCTATATGGGTAGTAAAGCACCAACCATTGCAATCACTGTCCCTTACGTTGTTCAGTGCTCATCAGCAATGACCCATTTGAAAAATTTCTTTGAAATATTAGTGCCAAGAAGGTTTCTGTTTTCTGAATTACAGAGCTTACCGTGCTTGCTTTTTTGTTGTTGCTGGGGGTGGGGAACACTGGACAGGCAGAGTAGGGTATAATTATTACTTGATTATGGTGGCCATCTTAGCCTAGAATTTTGCTAGGCTTATTTACCCTTCCACTATATGAATTTTGACCGTCGGTTTTCTCTTTTAATGGTTATAAATTTGAGGTCCTTCATGTACTTTTTGGAAGTAGGCAGGGTGTGTTATTTATAAAGAGAATTGGTGACAGCAAACTGCAATCTGGAGACTTACGGGACATAGTGTATTTGTGCTGTAGCTGAAATAGATTTTTTTAAAAACCATGCTAGGAATCAAACCCAGGAGGCCTTGTGTGTATAAAGCAAGCTCTAAACCCCAAGCTATATACCCAGCTTCTAAAATAGATTTTCTTGATATTCTACAGTATAGTTGGTGTTTTTATTAAATGATTCAGCTATTTAAATACCTGTCACATTTAGCATCAGTGCAGTAAGTCACGATAGGGTCAGTTGTGCTTAACTTTAAAAAAATAACATCTCCTAATGTTCTTTTTTATGTTAATTCAGAACTGTATTATATATAATAATATAGGAAATTTGTCTGGTTTGGTTGATGGTCCCAAAAGATAATTTCCATACAAAAAGTACATACACTGACTGATCTCTTTTGATCTCACTCCTGAAAGAAATTCATCTTGTTAGGCATGGTGGTACACACCTATAATCCCAGCACTCTGGAAACTGAGGCAGGAGGATTGCTCCAAGTTCAGGGCCAACCTGGGCTACCTAGTGAGTTCAAAGTAAGTCAGCCTGAATTACATTTTGAGACTGTCTCAAAAAGCAAAAACAAAAAGAAAAAAGATGAAATACATCTTCAGGTTTACATTGCTACACATATTTTTTATGACTTAAAAAGTTGAGGCAGTGGTGGGATGCTAAGCTAGCATGTACCAAGCCTGCATTTGATCCCCATTACTGCGTTCTTGTTCACACAAGTAAAGCACATCAGCAATCTGTTGTAAGTAGGCTTTTTTGTTGTTGTTGTTGTTTTTGTTTTTACTAATCTCTCAGTAATGGGAATGTTTTTTTGTTTTTTGAGGCATGGTCTCACTTTATAGTTCAGGCTGGCCTTAAACTCTCTGTGTAGCCCAGACTGGCCTCAAACTTGAAGTGATCCTCCTGAATGCTGGGATTAAAAGCATGCGACACCTTGCCCATTTTGTAAGTGGTGTTTTATACACAGGAGTAGGAAATTTTGGGCTGACCTTGAGCTCACTTTGTAGCCCAGGCTGGTCTCAAACTTGAAACAACCCTCCTGCCTCAGCCTCTTAAGTGCTGGGATTACAGGTATGTGCCACCTGGGAATTTTTTTTTTTTTTAACTTCAGAAATTTTTATCTATCTTTATAAGATTTGATCTTGGCTACAAATACTTTGAAAATATGGAGAGGGCTGCTTGCTTGCTTGCTTTCCACTAGAAGTTGAAGCCAGTACATTTGCACTGAGGTACACTCCTATCCCGCTTTTAAAAAATATTTATTTTCCTTTTTTAAGTTTTGAGACAAGGTCTCACTAAATTGGCCAGGCTGGGCTCCAACTGGCAGTCTTGCTCTCTCAGATGCCCAGAATGCTGGGATTGCAGGTGTGCTAACTACCATGCCCGCTTCAGCTTTCTTTTCTGCTCTCATGAACTCTTCTCTGTAACCTACTTTTTGCCAAGAATGGATTTGCACCTTCTTCCTCAGCCATATTTTTCCTATTGCTGAAAGGTTTTCCATTTTTTTTAGGAAAAAAAAAAGGCTTAAATATTTTAGCTGAACTATTTCAGAGACATTATAAATATCAAGATTCTTATACCTGAATGCTTCAGCTTCTCAAAAGATAATGGTTTTTTTATGAAACCACGGAACCATTATTGAGCTTTAGGAAATTAAGGAATAATTTTCTGATGCCATTATCACTCAGCCTGAATTATCTGAAAAATGTCTTCTTTAACTAGTTACTCAGCGCTACACCAATCAAAGACCCTGAGTTAATTGCATTTGTAACACACACTTACAGCTCACAGCTTTGCCCTTTGTTCACTTCATGAACTAAGGAGTTGCTTACTGAGCTCATCGTGGTGTTTTGCAAGTGAATAGCATGGCAATGAATCCTCCCTATTTCCTCGGAACTGCTGAGAAGATTAAGTGAGATAGCTTATGTGAGGGCACAGTACAGTGCCCAGTGAGTAAAGTAGGTGGCCTGTGTGGCTTTGTATAGTGCTGAGACCCTGTCTCTCAGATTCTGCTTGTGAGCCTGCAGATGGTGACCCAAAGGAGATGTTACCCATTTAAACTGGAGAGGAAGCCTAAAGAAAGTTCCTTGCCCGAGACAACAAATGCTTTTATAGCACTTTAGTGGTTTAGTTTCTCAGCAGTAGTGTGTGTGTGTGTGTGTGTGTGTTTGAGACAGGGTGGCCTTGAACTAACAGTGATCCTTCTGCCTGAGCCTCCTGGGTGCAGCGGACTACAAGCATGGGCCACTATTCCTGGCCCTTTCTCAGAAGCAGTCCCGTGAGGTATAGATGATGCTATTTTTTATCCCTATTGATAGTTGGGTAGACTAAGGTGCAGGCAGTTAAGTAGCCATTAATGACTATGAAGGAGCTGGGAATGGAGCCATCCTAGAATCCTGGTTAGGAAAAACTGTGTCCCAAACTCTAGGGCCTCAA